AATTGTTTGAAATAAACATACGTAGAAGGTTTTCTGACCAATTCGAAAATTAATATACATGTATATATAAATTATATATAATTTGAAAATTTTTATGTATATATATTTTATTTATATGTATATACATTATGTTACCCAGTAACGAGAATAATAATGCCCATTCCATTACGAATTTTTCAAAATTTTGTAGTAATAGTTCCGTTGTTGTTGTCACCGATTGCAACAAAGATCGAGATGAAACGATCGACCGTTAAATCCATCCATAGGGAAAATGAAATTATGCAAAATTGAGTAACACTGTCACTTTATTCGAAGCTATGTGTTCGAGAATCTGATGTACGATTACGAAATCTTCGGTTTCGAGAACGGTACGATATGATACGTAATCCATTGGACGATCGTAATATGTAATAGTTACATTACTGCAAACTCAAAAAGTGATTCGTAGCCAATACTTATGCAACAGTGTGTTTCCACATGGTACGAAGATCACTTTGCTATCTTTTAGAGTCGTTAAAAGTCATTGGTACACGCGTGAATCATTATCGATTTTGCGTCTTCACCTTGGTACCACTAGACTCTCTGATATATTACACTATCGGAAACGGTCGACGATAAATCGTGGTATTTTTAGTCGAACTAAATGCGTTACCGGATTAACATAGTCGAAAATAACTTTCGTCTTGGACCAGTTTACGTATCGTAATTTAAATCCGACCATTCAGATTAGCCCTCGTTTGCTGAATAAAATTTTATCTTTACTAGCCACTTGCATGTACGTACATTAAAGCACGTTATTGGAACAATAAAAAGTTCATCGAAAAGTGTTTCGATAAATCAATAACTTTTCAATAGCTCGTTTTATAGTTAAGATTTTAAGAAATCCCAACACATTTTCTTTTAATTGTGTCCCTTGCCTAACACAGAGAAAATCGCGAAAAAAGAATTTGTTTACAATTTTCAATATTAGTAGGGCAATCTTTCTAGGTTAAAATAATCAAAGAACGAACTCGTCGGGTTTCACGAAAATCGTCAAAAATCGTAAACCTCGGCGGTTTGTATTTTTTAAACAAATTCGAGAACAGAAAAATGATGACTTAAAACCAATCTTAAACCAAAAACGATCGTTAAATCGAACTGTGAAGCCTCTACTGCGCATTTCATGCGATTTCACGACTGTTTCGGTTGATCAGTAGACCAAAACGGAAATGAGTTTCCTACGAAGACTTTGCTCTCCTCCTGCGGCCGCGGTTTAATTCTCTTTTATCGACTATCTTTCCACACGACACCGGAAACCGGCGTGATTCGTTTTCCCGGTGTGTGACACAGCTTCGTGTATTGTCTTTATTTATATTATAATTTAATTTATTTATTTTAATTATATTATGTCTCGCGAAACTCTTTGAGGTGAATCACTTCCGCTAACAAAAAGTAATGTCATATTTTTGTCGAACCTAATATTGCACGGGTGGATCATTAACAGAGTTAACTGTGACGTATTAATCTATTTCCGTATCTATACGTGTAACATAAGAAGACATGCACGTAAAAACGCGTTGTCCCAACGGTGTGTATCATAACGTTCGCGTCTCGAGAGATCGTCGTAATGTCACGATCGGGACCGTGAAATTAAATTTAGAGACAGGGTGGGTAAATACGCGAAGTTATTTATACGAAAATACGTATAACAACGTCTAGGGCAATGTGTAGCGCGTAGAGATGTGCGATATTGGTTCCAATATCAAATCCAAATGCTTGTCGATATATATTTTTTCGTTTGATATATGAAAAATGTTGTTCACAAATTATCGATATGAAAACCCTATCAATTTTTCCAATGAAAAAATAAGCTGCGTATATTCAAGAAAATATCATTTTGAACCAAAAAGAATTTTCTAAAATAAAAGTTTTTGTATAGTACCGTTATCAATAAATATATCACCCATCACTGTGTTTTGACAAATATTATCGATACCTGTAATTATTAGTTTCTAAAAGATCAATATAAAATATCGATAAATATATCGCCCATCACTGTGTTTTGACAAAAAATATCGATACCTGTAGCTATTAGTTTCTGAAAGATCGATAAAAAAAATAGCGATACATTGATAGGCAAATATCGATAAAATTCAGTTATCGATGAATACATATATGGTCCATCACTAGTAGCGCGACGACCGAACAGAGAAGCATTCGCGTATCGGCGGCTAACAGGATGACTAATTCCAGGCGCGTCCAAGATCAATATTGAATCTATCTTATATGGAATGAACTTGGCAAAATCAGAATTCTTATGACGGCATCGTAGCCCGATAACAGTAAATTGTAGGCGGTCAAGAACGGTCGCGATACTCACGCTTCGATCAACCCACGATTCGTCGATATGATTGATCGATACTACGTTGATTCGACACACGGTGAATACAAACCCAGGGCTGTTTGGATTAACCATTAAGCAAAACAAGCACGTGCTTAGAGCAACATGGGAGGAGGGAGGAGAGGCAACAGAAATTTTCCATTGCTAGATTTACCATGGACCAATTTCAACATATCATCGCTCTAGTTCTTAATTGTTCTATCCCCGCTAGTTTCTACACTGAGAAAAACTGAGTTTAAAGTCCACATAATATCATCTACTGAACAGATTATATTTTCTATGAATATTTTTTTCTTAATGTTTTAACTCTATTTGTGAATTTATACGAATCAATTTTTACTCCTATTTATTTTTTAATCGACTGAATTTTTATTCGACTAACGCCCCGCGTCGGTGTAACCGTCCTGTATATCGACATTCGATTCTCGTAGTTCGATATGTCACTTTTAAAACACCCACGAAGCCTGGGTTCGATAACCTAACCGGGAGCGGTGAAATCGATTTTAATCGATCGAGACCTGAAAACCGTGACTTTGTCCCGCAACTATACGTAACTGGCGAAACTCGGCCATAGAAATCGACGGAATAAGGATCGTAAACGTGCTTTTTTGTTGCTAGATCTCTCTGGATCTTGCAGTGCCTTAGGCAATATTTGTCTACGGTTCTCTTTACAACATTTCCTTTCTTCCTCATTTCACTTTTCTTTTTTCCTGTCCCACTTCACCATCCATCATCGTATCTCATCCGTTCACCAGATATTTGTTTGCATTGTTATTACTGTTGAGAGGTTAGGTTTCATAACAGCACCGCCCTAAACAACTTTTTACGGATTCCATACATATGTATTTCTCTATCGTGTCGCTAGTTCATTTATTACCGAATCGTTTGCTTCCTCGTTTACGAATGTTTAGTAAAAAGTTACAACTAGTTTTTACCCCCAGTACCCTGTCAGCGGACAACGGATGAATGAAGAATAAATATCCCAATTACTGCCAGTATCCCGAATATACTGCTACTTTATTTATTTTACTTAATAAAAAGCGTAACGTGTAAAGAATCCCGTACAAAAATGTTATTATTAAATTGGGACTCTGATTTAAATATAAATAAAGAAATACATGTGTAATTGTGTGTATCTGGTATTTAAAAATTCATGTTGAAAAATGAAAGTGCAGTTTGAGCGTCGAAAATGCGACTACGTATGTAGAAACAGGATGGCGAAATCATACTTTAGAAAGAGCCGTATCTTTATTATTCAACCTATATCTATTATACAAAATGAATTATTAAAGTATATAAGAATTACTTTAATTTGTTAGGTGACAGTCATGGGCACACTTATCAATTAATTCTTCACATTTAATGTAAAAAACTATATGTTTTAATAAAAGGGATGTTAAATAATATTGTTTCGAACCGAGACGATTTTTAGGTTAAACAATGCGTAAAATGATTAAATGAAGTTACACTGTAATCTTAAGGTAGCAGTAATTGAGATATCCACCCTAACCGATTCTATTCAACTAATTACAAAACACTCTTATAGATCACCCTAATGAACGATAACAATCGTAATAGATATTTCAAAATAATAAAACATTCACCGGCAACAATCATGCTCATACGAGCCGTGCTCAGCTTTCTCCATTTTTTTTCCTCGCTGTTAATATGGTGGCCATGCATGACAAGCCGGCCCTACATAACTAATATAATTTTCAAACAGTTCTCTCCGTCGACTGACCTTCAGTTTCATAATGAAGGGTCCTTAGCTTGTTTACAAACGGTAAGGGACTCTACACGGTGGTAATTAGGGCCGATCCCGTGAACAAACCTGACCCCCACATATGATTGCATACAAAGGCGTTCGTTTGTAAAGTCTTCCCCAAAAAAGTGCACGAATCATCCGAAACCAAACATCCATCGATCGAGAGTCACCCACTACAATTAATATTTTTCTTTTTGTCTTATTTTTGCTTATGCTGAATTCGCCCTTGAAGAGTGACGCACTTTTTAAATTACACGTTGTACATACAAGATCGTTCCGCGATCGATTTACCAATTCTAATCACCGATCGAAAGCCTATAAATAAAACCGACTGTTCGCAATAACGCGAACTATTGAGCACTGAATCGTTCATAAATTTTCTTGGAAATGTTTGAAAGTTCTTATAAATAAGAAATTCACCGTACATTTTCAAATCGGTTTGGAATTCACCGATAAAACACGTAACAGGATGCATTCGAATTCACGGTTGTCGTGCGAAACATTCGTTAGAACAACCAGAATTTCGTTTCGTATGTGTAATCGAATAAAGCTTTGCTTGCGAACTACATAATAAGAGCCTGAATTGTGACTGTACATCTATTGTACGCTGAATAAAAGCATATTAAAGAAAGTAGACGATGACAGTTAAAAAGAAGATGTCAAACGAAGAGAAAACAAACTCACGACGACACGAACTGTACTTTTAACACGGTTCGTTAATGTATTTTCGGTGCACTTGAATGTATTCAGTGGTGGGTTTCATGAAACGATGCCAAAAATCACTCGCGACTATTAACGGGCAATATCGATAGAACGTGTCACAAGTGTGTAGATAAAAGTTGATAGTTATCTTACCTTAACGTTAGACGAGCTGTCAATGTTCAAGGGAGCCTTTGACCGAGCGTGAAACCGAAGAACGTAAAACTTGGTTGGCGGAACCAACCATCACACCCAAAAGTTCGCAGAAGACTGACCATGTCGTTGAGTCGTACGCTCGTACGGCGTGCCGTCTTTCGTTTTCTCTCTCTTGCACGCTCTTTTTTCAGTACAACGCAAGCGTACACCACGGCGCAGCTTGCGGATCGTTGATTGGCGCATGTCCCTTAAATGTTCCATAAACTCATGGGTGCCGTTCAGGTCAACAATACGACTGGAAAGATACATCGAGTTAATTATTCGACTTGATTCATCTTTAATTGTGTTTTCTTTAAGTTGCCCGGTTAACAGGTTAACGATTTCTTATTCTTTCAACTTTTATTCGATAGTATTTACAAAAAATGAGCGTGTAGAATTTTGTATCAATGTCTTAACTATAATATGAAAGTATTTATGTATTATGTCCAAACTAAGGTCACTAAATATAATAAATGGAGATAATAAAATTGATTTCAAAAAAAGTTTATATTTACGGATCTATCGTCAGTTAATGGCAATTATAAAATTAAAGTCAAACGCTAACGCGGATAGTTTGAATGTAGTTTCTGAGATGTCTGTAGGTAGCAGCACCTTACATACGTGTTCGTCAATAGAGTAGGCATTCAGTTCCCGCGCTTCCGTTATCTGTATGGAAGACACGCCCCTATATGCAGCTGCGTTGACTTTGCGTCACAACCGGAAAATAGTTGGCGCCGAATGTTAACGTATCTTAACAATTTATATCTCAACAAAAAGCAAAAATTTGTTGTTTACAACATAGGTAGTAAATGGCCTTTTTACACAAATATTATGGCACCAAAAGATTGCTCCTGATTTATAATAACAACTTATTAACGAGGAGCAAACGAAATATTGTAGTTGCATAGAGGTTAGGTATTACGTCATATCGTAGGCGTTCTAGTGACGTCATCTAGCGAAGAACAGACGAACTACATATGTGCCCGCCAGAAATTAGCGAAATGAATACGTGATGAGTAAATAAACAAGTTTTAGTAAAAGTGTTATGCATTCCACAAACATGTGAATTCCATTTAGTGGTCAAACCGAGGTACGAAACCGTCTCGTATATCTTGTGAACGTAAAATGTAATTATATTACACTGTTAAGAAGATTGTTTCCGATTTGCAATTTTGTTACACGTGTAACCCTATGACTGTACAGTTGAGGTTTTTTTTTCATTGTTTCGACCGGTGGCACCATCTGTGGCAATTAGCTCAAACTGCTAGCCAAATCATACCAACAGGTGAGTGAAAATTCCTAGTGATGGAAAAATGCGAATATCTCAGTAATTAAGCGCTCAAAGTTAAAGTTGCTAGTATAAAGACCCCTCAAAATCCAGTCACGAAAAAGCATTGAATGACAGATCTATCCAGATATCTCGTCTATGGTCCTGTAAAATGTCTATTCTTATGCCTGCTTATGTCTCTCTGTGTTATAGAAACGGGAAAGACCCGACTATTTACTCGTGGGCAGATTTCTGGACTTACGATTAGTCTAAATTAATCACAGATTTATTGTAAACACTGATATCTGTCGCTGGAAAATTATTAATGTAGCTTCTACATTTTAAAGAAACACATTATGTATTCTTATTGTCACATTAAACAATTGCACTTGTGAATAAATTACGTTCAATATCTTTTATAAGAGTACACAGAATTATTCATAAAACAAACACGTTGTTATTATTTAAGTATACCTGTGTGTAGTATGTGTACGCATACATAGCATATGTGTACATAGGTTCATTTACATGCCCAGTCGGTAAATTGGCTGATAATCGTGTGACAAAATTTCTTAACTCTAATCATACAAACTGCAAACTGTAAATATTTCGTCGTTATCTCACTGAAGCATTCGACGACAATTTATTTTCATTGTACACTTGTCGTCGATCACATGATATTTGACGTTGTAACGACAGATATGTATATGTGTACATTTACCCGTCGTTTCGAACATGGCCGCGGTGGAGTGCGAATCGAAAGACGACAGCTCGGCGGACTTGTCGAAAACACCGGTATTTTCGAATGAAACCGTTAAAACGATCGAAGAACATGAATCTCAGGGAATACCATTGCAAACCCCGTGGACATTCTGGCTGGACAAGTAAGAACGTGTACTTGCTTTTCGCTGCGTAATATTCCGACTCCAAACCGCTGTTTGTTGCATATCATTTTCTCCTTTTTTGTTTTATCCTTTCCCGAAACGTTACAGAACCGTATGGACATAATTCTTGCCTCCAGATATCGTCGAGTTATTCTAAATAACAAAGAAATCTCTACGACCTTTAAAATTTTAATTAATAACAGCTACTGTAAACATCGTTTACTTGTATTTAATGTGGAAATTGACGTGTGTCGGTACACACACCGCCTATTCTAATAGTGATAAGATGAAAATTTGCTGGTATAATGTAAGAAGAGAGATGAATCATTTTACGGAATAATGGAATGTATGTTTTAAGTGTTACATGATGATGAAGTGAAGCTACTTTCTATAAAATACCAGGCATCTAGCTTAGTTTTTGAGGTATCTATCATTGAAGTTTTAAAAAAAAAGTGTAAAAAACACTTAGTAAAAGTTTTCTAATTGAAGATACTGCTTATGAACTTACATTATCTTTTATTCATTTGGTCATGTTAGAATGTTGATGTAACAGGAAATTATAGTACACAACATAAACTACTTTTTGTTCATAATTTATCTAGAGACTTCTAAAATGTTGTAATATTAACAGAGCTGTGTCTGGCACAACTGTTGAAGAATATAAAGATAATTTAACGAAGATTTATACTGTGAATACAGTACAAAGTTTTTGGGCGGTCTTCAATAATATACCAAATGCAAGCGCTATGCAGGTTGGTACATCGTCTTTTTTTTTCAATCTTTCTATAAAAAATTATTAGATTACAAAATAGATTAATGATTAATTCACTATTTTGTACCGTATTTATTATTTTTCCTTCAATATTACTTAATAACATTCATTGTTGTCCTTCAACTTGTTATATCATACTGAACAAGTTATTACGAAATTATTAAGAAAAAATAGTGGATTAGTCAATATTACGCTCAATATTTTTATTAATCTATTTTTTAATTGCAGGTCAGGTATAGTTATCATTTGATGAGGGATGAAAGATATCCATTATGGGAGGAACCTGTTAATCAGAAGGGTGGAACCTGGAGATTAAAGTGCCATAAATCTGATACTGTATGTATTTAAATTTTTTTTATAATTATAATGAAAATCATAAAGGAAATCCTAATAAAACTCTTTTAGGAAACAATTTGGAAGGAAATGGTACTGGCAGCTATTGGAGAACAATTTTCAGAATGTATGGCTGAGGATGATGAAGTCTGTGGGGTGACTGTGTCTATTAGAGACAGGGAAGATCTAGTTCAAGTAATGTTTCGATTATTTAAAGATATTGAACTAATTAAATGAAATTTTAAATGAACCATAATATTCTGAAAGATTTTCTTCTCCAGATATGGAATACAAATGCGACTTTAGCATCAAAGGCTACAGTGTTACAAAAAGTTCATTCTCTACTGACTGATGTTAACTTTTCAGAATTTTATAAACGTAAGTTTTTACTTTCATTTTTATCATAATGATACCTCAAACATATCGTTCAAAAAATTGGTACAATTTTTTTAAATGTGTTTGTAGCTCATCAGTCGCATCACGCGTACGGTCGCCGTTAAATATTCGTCACTATTACTGCAATGTTAATCGGTCAACGAACATAACGTAAACGAAAATACAACTGTCAGTCATATTAATGGTTTCACAAGGAGTTTAAATCGTACGACAATGTCCTATGATGAACAGAAGGATCTACAAGAGATTTTAATTTGTTGTTAATGAATTGTTTATTATAACGGCTTAAAAATCGTTGATATTGTACTAATTTTTAACTGTCAAATATATTTTTATATTTACCATACATGCTTATTCATGTACCCAAGGTTATGCCATAATGTCAAAATACTTTTATACAAACCATGTGTGTGTCATTTAAATTCGCAGATGTTTTGTTCTAAAATAACGATAAATATTTCTGATCTAAAAATTGTAAATGAAATTTCATTTATTCAAAGAAAGTTAAAATCAATTATTGATGGTTCAGTAAGGCCACAGAAAATGGCGGTATGGTGCAGATGGTTTAAATTATTGAATAACCTGATGGAATGTCTACGGCATTTTGAAGTAGCTTTACGTTACGGTCCACAATAAATTCCAACAGAAGTATGACATACATCGATGGCGTCTGGCGCCTGCTGCCTATCGTTCACCGATCATTTACGATTTATTTGACTTGTCTTCGAAAAGACGCGCCAATGACATACGGAGCCAACCATTTCAATGGCCGTGTCAATTCGATGTCACATAAATCATCGCGACTACAATACAATTAATATTAATAATATTACCGTAACCAAAGGTAAATATAACACGACTAATATTCTAAAAAAACAGTGTAAACTAATTGTCTCTGATATTGTATAAATGTACACTGAAAATTTTACGCTGCATATTTTAATTTTTAACATTTTGCATTTATACATTTTCATTGTTGCAAAACGGCATTGGGTAAATTTCCGTTAATTGTAACTTCCCTCTTTCTCTTATTTACTGCGACATGCATATTCCGTCGTCGAGTATAATAAAAATAAAGAAAAAAAAGAACGAAAAAAAAATACGAATAATATTTCGATCGAGAAGATATGTGACTCTTCTTGTATTCCGCGGTGCTGTCGAAGAAAAAAAAACGATCATGAACGCGAAGGATCTTCTTTCACACACTTTCGAAAGCGGACATTTGAATCCCTAATCATATATCCATAAAACCGATTCGTGTGCCGGACTATACGGCGCCGCCTTAACATTTTACGGCTTTTCGATATTCGTCAGATTGACGTCAACCGACGAAGATCCCGATCATTAAGATGCATACTTGTACCCGAGACACCATTAAACTAGTTTTAAATTGCATTTAAATTATTTCCCGCGTGGAGATATTTCATCGTTTATGTCAACTTATTTACCGTCCGACAGCAAAAGAAAAAAAAATTTCGGGAATCGATCACACGCCCCCGTGCTTTCTGTCTGGAATTTCTACTTGTATAATGTCTGCTTCCTTCCAAATTGTGTAACAGGAACTCCCCTTTCGATTTTGATACCCGGAATTATCGGTACTTGCGTAACAAAATTTTACAGATAATATACAAATATCATTATTATGCACGAAGTTTAGTCGGATTTTAATGAAAATTGTTACAGAAGCGGGCTGTGCAAGGTCAGCCATATACTCTCCTTTAAAATATCTCTCCGTTTAGTGGAATTAAGAAAAAAATATATTGAAGAATTGATTAATAATAAAATTAGGTATGTAGCTGAATTGGACAAAAATCGAATAAAAAATGTCTCTACCAAAAATAAAATATGATCGAGTCACAAGATCAATTTTGTTTAACTTAACCTACCTTTTCTTCTTATCCACGATCTTGGTTAACCTTGAACACCTTTAGCCGTGGAATTTGTCGGAACGTAAATTATAGTTGTGCATAATCATAAATATATATATATATATATATATATATATATACGATTCAATTTTTAAAAAACCACAGAAACCTTGAGATGATCGAACTTTTAGACACAAAGCGTGACCCTTGAAATCCTTCAACGTTATCTAATAACTGGAATTGTTCAGTATGACTTTTAAGATCCACAATTGTTTAAAGGTTTGCCTGGGTTTACATGTACATATGTATTTGCAAATCGACAGTACGCGACGTCCTTGTGCGCAGCCTTGCGGTACCTATGCGTACGTATACGGTCAGGATTAATAAGGTTACGTTAATGGTGTCAGCAATCTCGAGAGACAACAGGATCAGAAATGCCTACACTCGCGTGCAGTTTCTCTGTAGCATGACTCACCGTTTGCAATTATTTACAAATTAGTAGAAGCGAGGTTAGAGATGGTAGCGTTACGATAACTTCACTTATTGTGTCCAGTGCTTTCTTTTTAAAATATATTCATTTATTATTATAATCACTCTATTGTAATTTATAAGACTTTAGCAAAATTTTTTGATGATAATTATTAACAAAAATTTTATCATTATATTGTTAAGGTGAACTTATTACGATAAAAAATGTTAAACGATAAATAAGAATTTTAATCTAAATTAAGATTGATCTACCCGACACCCGACACCCAATTTTTCAACTGTCCAACGATAGGAGGTAAGGAATTTCATGAATTCGAAACGGTACCATCGATAACATTGATGTAGGTTTCTATACGTGACGTTTCGGACTTACTGTTACATACTTTCGTATTTCACACATGGTTATAAAATTTATTGCACTTATATGCAAAATTTACACCAATCGAAACCTCCACTTTAATTCCTGCCCTACGGTAGACGTAAGTATGCGCAAGTTCGGGTCAAACGATGGCGCCAGGAAATAAAACCTAGAACAGAGAAACCTGTTTAGTGGGAAACTTCCAAGATGTGTAGAATCTTTAATGTCAGATAACATATCTTTTAACGCGTGCCGCGAACACGATAGAAGAATTCTGTAATCTTCAATGCGAATCTCTTTGAGGAAATTAGAATGTTCAAATATGTAGAAAAGTATTACAGAATACAAAAAACTACAGTGTGTATATGTCTCTATAGAGCACTCTATGATATCTCTGTATATCTGTATGTATATTAGGTGTAATCTGTCACTACACCATAGTATCGTATACAATGAAACTCATATTTCCTTTTCCTAATATTATTTTAAAATGCAAGTGACTTTTGTAAAACTGACAAAAAAGGTGATTTCACAAACGTCCTTTAACGTGACCTCGAAGCAATTTAGCGCCAAGGAAACGCAAGTCAAGTTGCAATGAAAACTAGCACTTCACGCGTCGTCTGTCTTAAACGGCCTTTTCTACTTCCTTGTATCTGTACCTTTTCTTCTCGTGTTTACAAGAGTAAAAAGCTCTCCGTAAAGTTTTTTTTTTTTCACAACATCAATACTTCAAGCAATGTTTTCAACGTCACTTGCCTGTGTGTGTGAGTGTAATTTTAATAACGTTGAATTGATACCGATCTTTATACAAACGTGTTATGACCGAGGGTTCGAACGAATTAAATAGTAGGTTTCAATCAATTGACAGTAAATTATAATTCGCGATATGAGGAGGAAACGATGTTACAGCCAATTTAAACCCCATTAAGTTAAACCGATTTAATGGATTGTGTACGTCCCGGAAATTTGCATAAGGTACCTATTCCTCATGCCGTGGAAAAGATTAGATAGTTCGTAGGTTAGGAATGTATTATCGAATTTAAATCGACGAGGAACCATGCTATTATCATACACGCAAATACGTCAATAAATAAATTGTTTCCGTTTGGTACACGGTGGTTTCATTTCACAATAATTTATCGTCCGGTATTCTTCGTCAACCTTCAGAGGCCGAACGTGGAATTCGTACGTAAAAAAAAAAAAAAGAGAGAAAAAAAAAAGGAAAAAAGTATAATTGTATCCTGACGAGGAACGAGTAGGCACGCCGCTTGATAAATTCAGCTCATCCTTTAACAAATTGCCATACCGAGCTGACGCGTCGATGTCGTGGAATTTTCAACTTTGACATTCATTAATCAATCGGTACATTGTTCTGTGGGCGAGACGTTTGCATTCCAGAGAAGCGCCACGTTCATGTGTCCAGCTGCCAAATGTATACATATATATATAAATATTGGTGGCGCCCGTTCACACCGTTACGAATAAAATTTACAGATAAAAAAGTTGTATTTGCACACACTCACTTCTTACAATTAATTTCAGAGATTTCTAGACTATATGATAAAATTTGCCTTCATGTTATTCGACAGGATAAAGAGAAAACAGGATGCGACTTGAATAATAGAAAATACGGATAGTAGAGCATAGTAGTGTTCGGAAGTTTCGCTGTTACGCTGTGCCATTGCTGCCACCACGGTGCATCGTTAAACCGTAGCAGACCTACTTTTATCTCTTTTTTTTTTCTTGTGCTTTTCTTTCAAACACAGTTTTTGTAACGCTGCAGAATTATGCGACAAACATTTTTTGCATTACTAAACCTTACTCTCCAATGACATATCGCTGAATTTTAAATCCACATTACTTCTTTCTAGACACGGAATATTTTCCATTTTTTTTTTCTTTAAGTATTCTGCATCTAAAAGCACAATAACTTTCTTGAAATACCATTGAAAAGATTGTATCTTGAAATATACGTATACAGAAAGCATTTGCACGGACCACCCACCTTTCGTAATTATACGGACACGTGGATTACGTTACCATAATTTTGATAACATTATATTTTCAAATTGCAATTGGCTTTCAAAATTCTGTATTCCTTATTATTGTGTATTTTTTTTTTTTGTCCTATTCCCCACATTTATTACAAGTGGACTGCTGATGTTTATGCAAATCCAAATTCTTACAGATTAATGTACGAAAACGGGGGACAAGCAGAAATCGATATCGTATTATCATGTTCAGTTTCGTCTGCCTTTTATTAAATTCCATGCATTCTTCGGGTGTCAAGAAGAAATAAGAGCCGTCGTCACGTTTTCGTTATTATTGCAGCAACCCGTAAGAATCGCACGTCATTCTTCTGATTCTTTCACAAATGACTCAGCAACTCATATAACAGCTCCCGGATATTTCGATGATCCCCTTTGACAACTATGTGTTTCGAAAATTACGGAGCTCATTTAGATATGTGACTACGTATTTGTCCCCCTGTAACCGAATGCGTCATCGCGAGCGACCTCTACGTGAGATATTAGTGTCGGATTGGACGGCAGAAATGCTACATCGAAAGTAGGTTCTAGTTCCGTCGTGCAATGACCTGAGGCGTCGCGGCCAAAGATTCTCCGATTCTTTCACTGAGGGGAGCGAAGAATTTGGCGAAACCCGAGAGATCATGGTATGTAGATACGTTTACGCACACACATACACACCCGTTACATTCCTCAGGCAAGAATGAAATATACGTATAATCGTTTCGTTTGATCACCCGGTACACGCACACAAACGTACGAAAGGGGCCTAGCTGGGCTTTGACTTCTGATTGGTGGAGTACGATGACGACACGTGTTAGACCATCAATAGGTGGTCCAGCCTCATCAGAGCCGTTTTCTCCGTATATTGTATTCAGCACTATGATGCCTAATAATTTTACGATTACATAACTGTCTTACAATATTATTTTTAATTTATTATACGGAACTGTTCACATCCAGCGCCGGATCAAGGGGGGCGGGGCTAGAGGTACTATAGCCCCGAGCCCCCCATTTGCAAGGATGCCCTAATTTAAGCATTCCATTTACGTAAAAAAATTATTGAAATAATTAGAAATCGCACCAGATGTAGAAATAAATCGGAATACAGTTATTAAAGCATCACGAAGCAGTGTTCGTTATGATTAAATGTTATTTATTTTTATATAGAATAAATTTCAATTTTTGACACACTTTTCAACCAAGGGAACTCTCGAAGGTCTGATAGCCCCGGGGCCCAAAAATCTTAACCGGGCCTGTTCACGTTATATCGAAAAACCGTGCCATTGTAAAATATATGTAGGACATGCATGCACGTACCGGACGTGAACATCGTGCTACACTGAAAAAGGAAATGGAAAATCGCTTCCCCCTTTTTCGTCGTAACGATCGGGCGGTCATCCGAGATCGGGAGGTGTGGAATTCGTTCCGGTTGACGTAATAGTTGCCGGATGCTTGGCGCTTCCCTGAAAGAGTTACAAATGATCTTTGTCGATTGCAGCTGCACGGATGTTTTCGCGATCGGTTGAAACGATATACGTATACATGGGGCTGTTCAATACGTACATACGGAAGTAAGCTTGACTATCTTGATGTTTTTGTATTCAAAAGTGTCTAAGTAAGATCGGTACGATAGCATACGTCGAATTTGTAAATTACATATGTAATTGTAACAAATAGATTGCAAATGTTTGTACCGAGTGAAACATACAAGTATCCTCAATTATTTAACGTAGTGTGCTTATAACAAAACCAGTACAGTTATCGTCAAAACTAAAGTAATGTTTGCAATTTTAATGTTTGACTATATAATTAGACTGTATTTCGGGGTATAGTAGACAGGGATCTCACTTCAGACTATTCACATATTGTATACCCGGTAAGAAGAAATAATATCTCTAGAAACGGGGATAAAAGTGCTTTCTTTTCTAACCTCAAAGATGAATTGCTTCACCGAGCGAAAAGTGCACTTTTATCCGAACAATTTAACGTCTAAACCGAGGTGAAAAAGGTAAGATGCGATTGTAACTACCGTAAATGCTTCACGGTTCGGGAACAAGGAAAAATAGTTGTTAAGATGGCGCACTTCGCTGCGTAAGGAACTTCCGCGAAAAAAATGATTCTACGCATTGTTTACAACTACCATAGTACCTAATATTTTATCCAATAAATTTTTACTATAGACTTCTACTGTTATTTCCAAATGTGTTTGTATCAATTTTACTATACACTGATACGTGGTGTCTCATAGTGTAATCAAGTAATCAGTATAATTCCTACTTTGAAGCTAAAATAATATGAAAAAATTCAGGTTATGTATGCATGTATTGTACACACTTGATTTAGAAAAGAATAGATTTTACATTACTACCAAATAATCGTTAATAATTCATCTGTATATTAAACGTTTACAATTGGTCGTTGTCGCGCGTTCTTCATGTAGCTAAGGAAACGATCGTTGGTCCTGTTTCGTTTAATCGGTGTCGCTGATAGTTGGCCGTTTACCGATAAAAAAAATCAATCGCGATTTATCGCACGCATCCTTGACCTCTTTACGCAATTTCTGCACAGTTGCTCTTTAAAACGTGCAAGTTTGAAATCGCTTGGATTCCCGAGACCATTCCACGGATCAGAGTCGCTACGCGCCCGTGAATACGCAGGCATGTTGCGATCGTAAACGATTAATCGATTTGGAAAGTAGAACGTTGCCATATACGATTTTTCTAAGGACGTTCGATTTCGGCAAATTGTTCGAGACGCAATCGTGATGTATATTTGTCGTTCCCGCGTTTATTTATCCATTGAACGTATACGGAAAAATTACAATTGCGTTCACGAAACCGTAGGACAGTGGCTCCCAACTATGTCAGACAATGGCACTATGATGTAGAACTATAAATTCTTCAATTTTACTATGATTTGCAACAATTTTTACGATTATAACGGAAGACGATTTGCATGTCAGTGTAACAACATGAATCACATCAAATAGTCTGAGAACCTCTATTGTAGATCTATTCTCGTAGGATCCAAGTGACATAATACAGTCGGATGACTGCATGCTGACTGTTAAATGTGCAGCAAGCTTACGAGATAGTCGAGATTACCTGGAACGACAATGGTTGCGGTAACAGATGAACACTTTGTCATTGTCGGTGCTTAGACACTCGAGTCATGCAAGTTTACTTCATACTATGCCTCTACGCCTATGAAAGCTTATTTGTTTTTATTTACCTTCTTACAGGATGAACTTAATTGAATAAATGCAACGACTATATTGCGGTTATGTATTATATATATAGCTTATGTACATCGGTAAAAGTAGGTCTGTGGTGTTCGAATTCTCACGTTAGTCATTCTCATGAAAAAAATGTCATCGCAATCATGTTTCTTTTGCGGTTGTCGTTAACCTTCTTCGAATTACGCGGGCACCTTCGAACGCATCGTATTGAAATTACATCGTGCATTTGTGAAAGCACTATTTATACGATCCGTATATTTACATTTTATTTGACATATAACAAATTTACAACGCCTGGGCCATATTTATTTATATACTTGTATGGAAATATTGTAAAAATTTCTTCAACAGAAACTAAATTTCATTCCTGAATTACCGTCGTAAATGTTCTCATACGCAACACAGAAACGTTCATGGTTAGGTTATAATTATGTGGGTTTGTGACGCAAAAGGAGAGAAGAAAATCATGAAAGTGACATTAGGGAACAATGTATAAACTTAATCCCTTCGTTTCTTCACCATAAATGGATAAACGGAAAAGAAGAGTTGCGCGTATTTGGTGGTACTGTTAGAGGGACATAATTGTCAGCGATGTTAATTATCATTCTGTGCACATATCTTTACCAATGTATGCGAATGTACGGGTCCAAGAGCGACTGTTGTAACTCAGGGGCGACCATTCTCTATATTTTGCAGGCAACACATTGTAAACAGAGAATTAATTGTATATGTTAATGAATTATAAATGGAAAGCAATAATGAGCATATTTAAATTATGTAATTAATAAAAATTAAATTCGACAATAGAGAAATGAAGGGTATATATTTGTTTAACAAATAATGAAAAGGGTAGTTATTTATATCTCGATACATAACGAAAATTTAAGTTAAATCGTAACAGATGGTAATTCCTGGCTACGACGTAAACAAAGAACCGCTTTACGCGCGAAATTGCACTTTCTTCTGCGTCGAAGTGTCATGAAACTACGCCGTTAAGCGGCGACTGATAGTTCTCATCGAATATTAATTTATAGTTGGACCAATGACCTACGTCACCAAGGTCCTTGAACGATCGTATATTTTTTATACGAAAATAAATCGTAAATAACAGCGGTAACGGGGAAACGGGTTCAGGTTTAACATTCCTAAACACAAACCATACATTCAGACACAGAAATATATACATATAGCTAGTTTTACATTAAACGAAATGTTTTTTTAATGTGTTTTTTATGAAAAATAAAATTAATAATCAACAACATATTTATTGTCATTCAGTCGTATAGTTACGAATATTTTGCCAATGTTCGTTGAACTTGAAACATTTTGAAGGACGTGGCACCCCGAGGAATGCGATCCTAAGGACCTACTCGAGCTGGAAGAACCGGATGAACAAGATCGAGGCGTTTCCAGTCGTATTCCCAGCGTGGTCTCTGGATTTCCTCTCGTACGCCGTTTCAAACTCGTTTCCAATGGAAAATCCCTTAATATCTTATTTTTCTTCGAGTAATCGAACCTAAATAGGTGTCAACGAGCTCGTGTGACATGAAAACACATCGATAATTTTATGGATCTACCGTATTATAATTTCACTCCTGTCTTAGGTTTGAACTAAATTTAATAACAATTGGTGAATTCAACAAACAACGTTTACGAAATCCATCAGGTGAGATCAATTATCTTGTGTACTATAGGAATTTCTACACATATTTCCATAAACATCCGTTTCCTTAATTATGTTTCCTTATTTTTATGAAGAGTTCATCGCACTGAGGGAACCACGTGGTCAAATGTTTTGAAATTTGACGCACGCGATTGAATGGGGAGTTCTCTGTCTGAGAAAAACATTTTTTTTTTTATTCATCAGGAAAGTTTCTATTAGGCCAGTGACGTGCTGAAAAGACGTAAACACAGAAAGAGTCGCGTGGACTCTGCTCCTGAAAGCGGTATAGTTGGGCAGGAGGAGGGGAGCTGCGCAGACGTCACTGGCACACGCACGAACATATAATCCCAGGAATCGAAACGGAGCAAGCCAGTTTGCACGGAACGTTCAAACAGAGTGAATCGTTACGTCGTTTTGTAGATTCGATTCCACGTGAATTTTCACTCAACGTCTTACAAATATTCGTATTCGAAGGCGTATTTTTTGCGTAACTCTGAATATTATTATATTGAGACGTGTGAAACCGGTGACTCGCTGAAACGTTTTCAAGAGTTCTTCTAGATTTAGCACAACACGTAATACCTGTGCGACACATCGAACACGCCAGGACTAACGGGACGTGTGCGTACAAAAAAAAAGTGTGTTCCTCAGATCGTTGAGAGAAACAAAAGTGAAACGCCAACGATGAGCAATTCTAGAACTTTAGTGATCTTCGCCGCTGTCCTAATACTCGGATGCCATACCCTCTGCGTCAATGGTTCCGCGATACCCATGTGGGAATTCCTCTCACGGGATGAGAAAGTAAGTAAATATTGTCCCCAAAGTTCATTTGTTAGTTCAGTTCTCGGCATAATTAGATTGCTTGCAATTTGTAAATCGAACAAGTAACGCGGATCTGTGTTATCAATTTTTATGGAACTGTACATACAATTTGTTCCGATCTATCGAGTGAAATACGATAAGTCTTTTCCTACTTATCCCCTAATTACTATAACTCCCTTCTAAACCCAAACTCTGTTTACGTCTGTCTCATGAAGACGCGCCTGCATGTCCCTATCCCTATATCCCCTCTACATCCTGCGTCATATATCTCATCCGTCTGTTTCCTTTTTTAATCGAATTTATAGTTTCTTACCCCCTAGTAACTTATCACATTCATATACGTACGTATTAACCGTGTGTGTGTGTGTCCGTGGCATAGAATAATAGTTGCTAGTTTTCACGAAGCAGTAGATTAGAATTACGATTATTTTTTCACGAAAAAAGTGATATAAGTAAAACGAAACTTTCACCGTACCGCTGACGACTGTATTCGTTGAAAATTCTCTCCCTGTAATACATACACTTGTGCAGTCCAGCAGAGTGCAGTTGCGCGAGCGCCGCTCGGGGACATTGACTTTTCTCATGACATTGCGCCGTTCTTGCATTTACTTTTTCTTTTGTTTCTTCTTGTACCATTCGAAATAGTCTCGAGTAGGGTTGAATCGATACCGTCCATGTATCGATATTTTTACTTATTGCTAGTATTGTGTGAAGGTATCGATACCTACTTGTATCGAATTATATTTCCCTAACCTTGATATCCAACACAAAAGTTGTTTATACCTTGAGAGAAAATAAAGTACAATACTATACTCTATATATTTCTTTAAATATATAGCTATATATACCTACATTATTTTAATATTGAAAATATTTAAATACACATTCCTTAATTATTAATATAAACAACATTGTTTTATGTAGAAAGTAATTACAATATCAAATATTGATGGGTCGATACTCACTCCATTCGATACGAGTACTTTTTTTTCGATACCTACTTGGTGTCGCAACCGTACGTATCGATACCAAAAGTACTCGGTATTGAAACAGAAGTATCGAGTAATGTACTCGTATTTACATGTATCGATTCATCCCTACTCTCGAGTGCCCGGAGGTTCGCGATCAGTGTTTTCATTACTCCATGTTACAAGCGTTTCTGAAGTTCATCTCGTCGGGTTGTCGGAGTCAAGCAATGCCATTGCAAACTAACCATTTTTGACATGACATTTGGACAGTTTGAAGGTTGAAGCAAAAAAAATATCGGAATTGCATAATCATTTAAATTATTAACGAATCACTGTCACGTTTATATCGTGCTTTGTACCGTGCTACAAAAGACTACCGTGAGACGAAGACCATTATCGTAATTACGATTGTAGGCAATTAAAGCAGTCGATACAATGGCGTGACGATCGAAGGATTACTCACGATGACGAACATTGGAATACCTAGGTTATCAGTAGGGAACATAGACATTATTTATTGTTTCTATGTCTATGGTCGAGAAGATCTATTACAATATTAGTTAAAAAAAAAGGATCTATAGCAAATATGTTATATTTTTACGTTTTTTTTTATTTATGATACGAAGGTTATGATAATGTTCATATTCTGGTTCTTATTTCTGCATTCCAATCACCTTTGGAGATTGTTCGTCTGGGCAGGAGAAAAAAGCGTGAAATTCATTTCATCACCTCACGCTGGACTGTGAATCATATGACTGCTCGCGGGCGTACATACGGGCGGGGTAAAAGCGGTTGCACGTTAAATTGAAGTTCAAGAACGTTCTCTTTATTTGCACACGGGTTGAACTTGTGTGTATTCCATTAACCGTTCGACTATAAGTGGTCTAACCTGTATCTTTAACCTGTAGTATTGGAAAAATCGAAGAAACGTTATGTACCCTCACGAGCAAACTGGACTTCCGCTAGGTGAAAAAGTGTCATAAGAGTAAGGGCCTACTATTGCTTGGTAAATTTAATTCAAGTACTGTACAAGATAATTGTCAGATGTTTTCTGTGTCCATTGTACATATCGAGACATCACAAAAATTCATTTTCTTGGTACGACACAAATACTAAAACGTTGGGAGTGGTTCTCGAGTAAACTCTTTGTCTTTCCCCGTTAATTGTTTATACAACGATCTACACTCACCCAGTTGTCTAGACTTTCTCTTATTTCCGGAATTCTGCAGGAGACAGCACAATGATCCGCCATCGATCACGTCGTCGATCTATGTAGGTCAACACCGGAAATCGTGCATCCTTGCTCATGTAGTCCGCGTTGAGGATTGAAACGTATCACGTGGGACGCATGAAACATAAAAAATTTACTGGATAAACGATATTTCCCGTTCGTTCGATAAAATCTCATGAATAATAAATTGAATCTTTATAAAATCAATCGAATCTTAACCTATGGAGTACGAATTTGTTCTACACGATTATTGTTCAGACGTCATTCACACCAGGGGGGGGGGTGGTGTAACCTGTCAAGCACATGCATTGTTGCCCCCTCGTTTTTATTGCCGAAGCTCGGGTTTCGAGCAAAAAACGAATATACGAGGGTCTGAAGCATTTCTCCCTATACGATTATTGTCTCTGCGCGGACCCAAGATCGGGACAATAATCGAGAGGAGTCTGTATTAGGGTACGATTTTAAATAGAAAGGTTATGTCTTACCTTTTACAAGTTTCAATGTAACTATTATTACCGTGTGTTTCATTGTTTCACGTAATAAAAGAATTATGATGATTATTATCGAAGTGATACAATTGAAACATGTCCCGAAGAGATTTCAACATTACGTAAACAATTTGTCAACGTCCAGCCTGTACTGGGGATATTTCCTGTTGCCCCCCCCCCCC